GTTGTAATTGCATATAAAACACTGTTTCAAATCCTAATAAAAGCTTTCAGGCCAAAGAGGTCTCCTTAATCAATAAAGAAAGATATAAGATTCGAATAGTTATTTATTTATTGAACAAGCTAGAGAGTAAGTACATTTCTTTCGATCCTTTTATTGACTATACTAACCTACTCTCTCAATACTAATTACTAATTGCAATTGCCTTCCTATAACTACATTATTCATACAACGATATAATTAACACTAACTATGACTACATTATTTCTGCAACTAATAGTACTATACTAATTACCTAACTATAATACTATAATTTATGTGTATTATCTCTAACTATAACACTATAAGTAATATGCATGAAATTGGGTTGGGTTTAAACCCAAAAGCTTAAGTTATAGGTGTTGGTCATGGGACATAACACTGGGTTTAGTTCGAATCTCCGTGGACTACAGAGTATTAGTCACGGGCTCAGTTGTAGCTGGGGCTTGGCTATTAAACCGTGATATTATCTCCTCCTTTAGGCTCTGCCACTTTTGTATATTAGATCTCTTCAACAAATTCATACCTGGTTTATGAGGGTGTTGCAAATGAAATTCTTATATAGCTTTACTTGCATAGGCTATATTTTTTGCAGGCTTCCAAGAGCAATCATTTGGATTGTATCCTTTTCATTCAATTAGATAGTATAATTTTTTTCTAATTAATTTTGAGTCAAGTATTTTTTCTACTTCATACTCAGGCTCTCTTTCAACAACTACCGGAGAGGGTGGATTTATATATCTATCTGGAATGTCATTAACTTCATATGGCTCTAACAAGGATACATGAAACACATTGTGGATCTGAAAGGATAGAATAACTCTAAATGATAAGCTACTGGGTTTATTTGAGATAAAATATGGTAAGACCCAAGCTTTTTGTAATCTAATTTTCCAGAGGGGCACTGTGTATGGATGTTGTATCACAACAACCAAACTTTGTTATCTAGTTTAAGTTAAAAAGAGCTACTTCATTGATGGTCTGCATTCTGTTTGTAATGTGTTTAAGCAGCCTTCAGTTCTTTTATCAGACTATCTTTTATTTGTTAGAGTTAAGTTGCTTTTTCTTCTGCAGCAGATACTGTAGGATGTGTAGGTAATTTTACATTTAAATGGTGACAAAACCCATAATTAGCAAAAAATGGAGTGACTTTAGTAGAAAAATACACAAAATTGTTGTAGGAAAATTCAGCAAAAGGTAAGAAGTTCACCTAGTCATCTTGGTGATAATTTGTTATACACCTGAGATATTGTTCCAGTATTTGGTTAACCTTTTTGCTTTGTTCATCTGACTGAGGATGATACGCAGAAGATAAATTAATTTTGGCTTCTAAAAGTGCAAAGAGATATTTCTAATAGCGAGACGAGAATTGGGGCTCTCTGTCAGACACTATTTTTTCAGGTATACCATAAAGTCGGACTATTTCATGAAGTACAAGTTGGGCTGTTTGTTTAGCAGTAATGTCTTTGTAGCAAGCCAAAAAATAGGCCATCTTCGACAGTTGGTCAACTACTACTAGAACAGAATCAAAACTGGAAGAAAGCAAGAGATCTGTTATAAAGTCCATAGATATAGACTGCTACTGTCGGGAGGGAACAGGTAGTGGCATCAACAACCCATAAGGACGGTGTCTTGGTGATTTAGACCTTGTACATATGTCACAGGTTTTAATATAACAATGAACAAAGAATTGAAAGTTGGGCTACCAGTAATTTCTGGTTACTAATTCAATCATCTTTAATATTTCAAAATGTCTAGCCAACTTGGAGTTATGGCGTGTTTGCAGTATCTCAAGCTTTTTTGCTATCCTGGGAATATACAAAAGTCCTTCTCTGTATAGTAAGCCATTTTCATATGTAAATTTATGATAGTCAGAGCAAGAACTTTTTGTGAGTTTGTCAATGGTAGTCAAGTGTTTGATCACATCAAGTGCTAAAGGGTCTGTTTGTACAATAGAATAAATGCAGCTTAATAAGGTATGGTCAACCGGCATTACAGATATAGCATTTAAAAATATTTTTTCTGATTTTAATAATACAACTTGTGGTGAGGCTTGTTTGTTGTCATTGAGTCTGTAGTCAAATCTCTGTGATAGAGCATCTATATTCTCTTGGTGCTTTTCTAAATAAAAAATAATTTCAAATTCATAATTTAAAAAGAGTATTGACCAATGGCAATTAAGAAAACAAGTCGTGGTGAAGTATAAAAGATTTTTATAGTCACAGTATACAATAATCTTATGCTGAGCCCCTTCCAAATAATATCTCCACTGCTTAAAAGATAACATGATTGCTAAGAGCTCTTTATTATGTATATCATAATTTATTTCGGTAGAGGAAAATTTACGGAAGTAATAAGCAACAGGGTAAACAAAACTATCATTTTAAAGTTGTGAGAGTACTGCCCCTAAAGCATAGTCTGAGGTGTCAGTTTTTAGAATAAATTGCCTTGCTAGATTAGTGTGGATTAGAATTGGGGCAGTGGTAAAGGCCTTTTTTAACAGTTCGAAGGCATCCTGTGCCGCTGTGGTCCATTTGAAATGTTTGTTTAACTTTTGGGTAAAGTTGGTAATAGAGGTGACTAGTTGTAAATAACTTTTAATAAAATATCGATAATAATTTGAAAATCCTAGAAACTGTTGTACCTCTTGTAGGGTTTTGGATATTGGCCAAGAAAGAAGGCTTTCCACTTTCTTCGGGTCTATCTTAATTTCTTTGGAGGTGATTAAATATTCTAAAAATTTAACATGGTCTTGGTTGAACTTGCACTTTTCTAATTTCACATATAGGCCAAAACAACAAAGCTATTCAAGGACTAATTTCACATGAAAATCATGTTCTTCAGGGGTAGAAGAGTATATTAAAACATCATCCAAATATACCACAACAAAACTGTCTAGGAAATCCTGAAATATATCATTCATCAGATATTAGAAAACTGCAGGGGTGTTGGTAAGCCTAAATGGCATTACCAAATATTTAAAATAACCATAGTGAGTATAAAAAGCAGTTTTTCATTTATCTCCTGGTTTAATTTTAACTAAATTATAGGCATCTCTTAAATAGATCTTAGTGAAAATATGAGCCGAAGATAGACGGTATAGCAATTCAGATATAAGTGGAAGTAGGTATCTGTTTTTTATGATAATATTATCTAACCCACGATAATCCACATATAATCTTAATGAGCTATCTTTCTTTTTGACAAAGAGAATTAGAGCTCTAGCAGGGGATGTAGAGTGTCTTATATATTCTTTATTTAAATGATCTTCAATATACTTCCATAAAACTTTAAGTTCTGATTCTAATAACTCATAAATAGGTTCCACAGTAGTTGTTTTCTGGGTATAAGGTCGATCGTACAATCATAAGGCCTATGTTCTAGGAGTTTATTTGCTTTCTTTTTGTCAAACACATCACTAAAATCTCTGTATTCTAGCAGAAGAACTGGTGTTTTGTTGACTTTATTCTCACTAAAGAGGTTGATATAAAAGACTCATGCTATAAAAATTGTTTCGGCTGTATTGATATTGTTACAGTGTAAAGCCTTCTTAATTTACTCTATAATGACGACACGGTACAGAGAATCCTTTCGTAGGTATATGCGGTGTCCAAGAGGTAAGTATAGCTTCTTTTCTCTTTAAGAAACTATACCTTTCTC